CACTCCTTCGTTTGACCACATGGACCTTTGGGAAGGCGAGCCTTTGACTGGACAGAACCACCTTCACAAGGTTTCGTTTGTAACTGTTACCCTTCAAATCAGCATCTTTCGAATCCAACTCTGGGCATCCCATTTGAAGGACATGCTTGATGGTCCATTCGAAGGATTTACAAGCCCACTTTAAGGCATGTTTTTGGTGACCCATCCAAGGGTCATACTTTTGGCTCCTTCGAAGGATGCACAAAAGTGACTCAATCGAAAGACACTTGTTAGAGGAAAATCAAATAGTCTTGTTTGGAGAAGAGTATGGTCGAAGAAGTGTCAAAATGAAAGGATGATATTCAAAGATGCTTGCTGCCAAGTTCAGGCCTGACACACTGGCCATAACTTCTGCACAGCAGTCCTGAAACACTGCCCCCTTCTTACACCAAAATAGCATACAAGGCACTGTCTCTCGAAAGCTACAAGGAGCAAGTTACTCAAATTGTTCAAATCTTTTGTTTTCCCTCCAAAAGCTTCAGGCAGCCTTGCCTATAAATAGGAGGCTTCACAATGTTTTGAGGAGGACTTTTTGGCCAGAGGAACGAATCTTCAAATTTCTCAAACACCATAAAGCTCTCAAGCACTTAAACACTTGTGAAAGCAAAAACCCAGAATCTAACATTTACCTCTTTCGAATTTGAAAAGTCCCACACATTTTATTCCCTTTCGAATCCAGCAGAAAAAATATCTCATTTGTTTTTCTCCTTCGAATCAAGCAGTAGAAACGTTGCCTTCGCTCTTTCCCTTTGAATCCAGGGACATTCAAGGTAACCACTTCAAGGTCCAGCACATGCTCCAGCCTCCATCAAGGTAAGTCATCCTTAACCTTGATTCCTTCGTTTACAGCACAACATGTAAATAAAATTCCTTTTCGTTCCAAAAATATACGTAGCATTTGTTCCCCTTTCGTTTACACCCTTATAGTTTGTTTTTCTTGCCTTTCCTTTTGGTTTTGTTCTTTGGTTTCTTACAAATGTTTTAAGAACTAACCTGGCCTTAAGGCAGTGCTAGCATGGCCTTGGGCCATGTTTCTATTTAACATCTCAAATGAAGGAAACGTGAAACAGGAAGTAGGTAACGAAGCCTTTGGCTCCCACACTAACCTCCAGGTCAAACGAAAGAGGCAGCCAGAGGGTACACCAAGATGACTTTCAGGCCCAGACAAAAGGCACGCCTACACTGAGTTCAGGCCCAGATGAAAGGCACAACATGATGACTTCCAGGCCCAGACGAAAGACACTCCCTCACTGCTTTCAACCCTCAGTCAAAGGAGACAAAAGGCACAACATGCTAGCCTCCAGGGCCCAATCGAAGGGCATGACTCCACTGACTCCAGACCCCAAATCGAAGGAGGTCAAAGAGTGCAGAATCGAAGGGTTTTCTGCCTCAATCGAAAGACCCTCATTTTTCTTACTTTTATTTTATTTTTGCCTTTATATTTTCATGCAACTCAATATGGTTGTAATAGTATAGGATTTTATCTTTCTGCATCTTATTACTTTTGTATGATTGCTAGTAAAATAGGGCATGTATGGCAAGATAAAAACGACAAGTAGACAACCCCTAATCAAAGACTAAATGCATGCAAATCAAACACACCATTCACATATGCACCCTTAGGGTAATCCCACTTGTTACCTCAGAAAAATAGTCATGTCCCTCGAATATGGGCGTTTTAGCAAAGACCCTCGATAAAAGATCGTAGTCCCTCGATGACCCTCAATGTTGCCTTCGGTAAACGATCTCGTCCCTAAACGACATTGCTAAAACGTCCTATAGGTTGCCTTCTATGACTATACAAACGTCTCACGCTCGTCCCTTCACATCCAACGATGGGGCTTCTTACTAAATCAATGGTAAGATAGCAACATCTAAAAGAGGAAGAAAAGAACATTAAGACCTTTTGAGTAGGTAGGATGCTCCTAGTTGCTCGCTTGCTCACAACAAAAACATTTTATACACCAACACTTTCACTTTGAAACATTTTCAAAAGACAAAGCTTTTTGTATGCGTTCTTATAGAGACGAGAACCATTACAAAGACACTTTTCAAAATCACTTTCAAAAACACATTCCACAAACACTTCTTTGAACTATTTTCAAAAACCAACACTTTGTACGCGTTCTTATAGAAACGAGAACCATTACAAAGACGTTTTCAAAATACTTTAAAAACCACACCACAAGCACATTTTCAAACAAAGAGCAAGTGATCTAGCAAGCAACTAAGAGCCCGTAGATAACTACGGATGAAAAGGGTGCTAATACCTTCCCTTTTCATAACCTACTCCCAAAACTCAAGAAAACAATCTCGAAAGGTCTTTCCTGTTCTTTTCATCCTTTTCTTTTGGATAAAAGAAAAGTCGGTGGCGACTCTTGCTATCCGCAACAATTACGATCAAACGCAAAACACCCAAGTCAGTTCTCCCACCGTGTTACACCATCTAATCCAAATCCTACCATTTTCCTGTTTATAGTAATTATCAAGATATTTACCCCTTAGGTTCATCTTCCTTCTAATATTTTCAGCTTTGGCTATTTTAACTCGAGTTTCAATAATCACCATGATATCAGGGTGTAGGCTATTGAGACAGGAGCTGATCCCCTTTGCTTTACCCGACTTGTTAAGCCCCCGTACATTCCATGCAAGGATCATGGACCTGTGTCATAGATCACTAAGGGATCCTTCAAAATCCCTAGTGATTCAAAACCGTTTCTACAATTGATAGGTGTGTTGGAACTTTTTCCTTTGATTTTCCTTTGTCTCTCCATTTTTTGTTCACCTCTATCCATTTGTTTTCAACTTCCATATCATCTTGCAGTTTTTCTTCCTCTTGTTTTGCACTTTGTATCCTTTGTGCTTTAAGCCTAGGTTTTTGTTTCCATTGCTTGATGTCTTTCGTTGTCACCTCCTTGCCACAATGATGTCATACCTTTTGGCACTTTTCACAAAACAATGCTTTCCACTCATACTCCACCACTTGTTTTATTATATTCCCTTCACTATCTTTGATTGTGATGTTCTTTGGCAATGTTTGTGTGATATCCGCCTCAACCAACATCCTCGCATATGACACTCGAAATTTATTTGTTGTGCATTCAATTGTGACCTAAGGTTTCCAGATCGCACTCCCAATCTTACTCTGACTCCTCCCCCCCCCCCCCCCCCCCCCCCCACGGATACAGTGGCAACTACGACAATTTAATCCAAATGTTGAAGGTTTTCAACATGTCCCTCTTTAGGCTGAAGTCCGGTTTCCAATCCCTCAGCAACATCGGCATATTCCTAATGGTGTAAGGCCCTCTCATAAGAACCTCATCTTTGTTTTTGAACGAATGAAATTTCAGAATAAAGTATCCTTCTTCATTATAGAACATATCAGGTAATTTCACAAAGTTTCCGGTCTTAATCATATATTGTTTGACAACAGTCATACTCAAATCACCTCCTAACACATACATGATTAAGGAGGATTCCTAGAACTTTACCTTTGATTTAATGTCAGCAACTTCTATTTCCACTTCAACTTCCCCATTCACAAGCTTTGGCGCAATGAATTCCATAGTCATCCTCTTTGTTGGGTTGCGATTTTCGCTCAATACATCTACCCAAAGCTTCTTGGAGGCGTCATTTTCCACTTCTTTTGTTGATTTTATAAGTGTCTTTGTTAGGGTTTCTACCTTCTCCTCAAGTTCGTCTCTAGTGCCCTTTAGTTATGAGTTGTTGCCCATGGTGGTGTCGTCTGATTCCTGCTCTTCAATCTACATATTTGTTCTTGCTCGGTGATTTGAATGTTCCGATGACAGGGGCATCGATTTTCGTGGCCGCCCTTATGCTCTTCCCATCTCTTCTTATTTATTATTATTTATTTATTTGTATATATTTTTAATCTACCTTATGACACATATTAAGGAATCAAATGAGTATATATTGTCTTAAAAACTATGCATTCAAAAAAAAAAACTTAGTCAAATTTTTTTTATATTTTCAAAACTTTTAATAATATCATTAAGATTAATTGAAATGAAGACTTTGGAAAAATAGATAATGAGAAAAAAAGTTTATATTTTCAAAACTTTTAATATATCATTAAGATTGATTGCAAGTTTGAAATGAAGACTTTGGAAAAATAGATAATAATAAATGAATGTTTATCTTAATACAATTTAAAAATAAAATAAAATAAAATAATATAAATTATATTTAAATAACTTATCTAAACCATCTAAAATCATCATTCTATACTCTTTTTTTTTTCAATTCTCCAAAATTCTACCAAAATAAAACTCAAAAAAATATTAAAAGGTTTAGATAAATACATATACTGATATAATATTTTGAAAATTGAAATTATATCAATAATAAATATTCTTTATTATTCTCTATTAAAATGCTATTTTAAAACATGTAAAAGATTTTTTTATTTTTTCCTCTCCATCCCTCCTTAAATTTCTCTATTTCCATGTCATTTAATGTTTATATTCTTAACTTATTAGCAGAATGTACCATAGTAATAAATAAAAACTATGAGTTCTATTCTTAGGCTAATTAGAGTCCTAGGTTAAAAGTTACATTGAAATAAAAGAAACAGAAAATCTCATATAAATATCAACACCATAAACCATATTGAAATAAAAACCAAAATAAATGAAAATTGTTCAGCAAGCCAACTCCCCAAAATGGAATTTCATTGAAATTCTATATCAAAAATCAACCACTTATGTTCAAGATGCCAAATTGCCAATGCATCATCATAGTAGTAATTCCCAAAAAATGTTACATTAGAAAGCATGAACTAGTTTTGCAAGGTGAACAATGTTGTAGAATCTGCAAAACCAAATAAAGTTACATTAGATGCATGAACTGAATAAACCAAAACAGTGGCAAATAAATCTAATCAAAGTGGTAGAAATAAAATAAACCACCAGAAATTATCTTACCTTGGACATTCTTCATAATCAATAATAATAACTCTCCACCAAATCTTTTTCCTTTGGTTGTACCACACACTCGACAAACATGTCTTTCAGTTTTTCGTGCTGAAGCATTAGATCAAGAATACCATCTTCAAAGTTCACAGCACGGTTTTTGCCCTTGACATTATCTGAAAATACTAGTTCAGACAACCGGTCCTTTTCGGCCTGTTTGAAATATTTGACGCACTCGGTAGTCTCGTGCGTGAGCAGATGGTACGTGTACACAACTCTCTTTTGTCCAATCCTATATGCTCTACTGATAGCCTGTCGCTCGACAGAAGGATTCCATACAACATCAAGTAGCACAACCCTTGACGCTCCAACTAAGCTAATTCCCTCGGAACAAGCTTTCGTACATGCAAGTAGAATCTTAGCTTCGCTGTTTGCATCGTTGAAGTTGTGGATTAAAGACTGCTTTTCCTTCAGATCAATATTGCCATCCATGTAGAGTATTTCCTTCCCCTCGGCCCAATTGAAGATCGAGTTTAATTGCTCAACAATTAAGCGTAAAGGGGGGATGAATTGGCTGAACACAAGAACTTTTTCATTAACAGCAACACAAAGATTAACAAACTCCACCAAAAATTTTGTTTTGACACCGATATTTGGATTCAATCTAAGTTTTTCAAGCTGTTCCTTGTCGACAACAGATTCTTCTTCTTCTAAAAGTTTGCATTCGAGAAATAGAGACGGGTGGACTGATGCCAGTATCAGCTTATGCTCAAAGTTCAATATGTTCTGAGAACTTTTAATGCTCTCAAGAATTTGTTTCTGAAGACTGGCCGGCTTCAAACGAAGCACACAATCTCTTAACCCGAAAAGCTTTTGCTGAAGAATCGCGCCTTTGTAAACATGAACAAAGGGATCCATTAGCAACTTCAAATGTCTGATCTTATCATCAGAAGGATTTCCTGTTGTACTGTTTCCAGTAACCGGTTCCCAACTCCATTCTGCTTTTGCTGCTTTCTTAGGTTTCTGGCAAAACTTTTTCAGCTTGGGCGGTATCGTGTTAGGAAAAGAAGGCTTCACTATGCTGAAAGTGTTGTACAGTTCCAAGAAATTATTCTGGAAAGGAGTTCCAGAAAGCATAATTCGCTTCTTTGTTTGAATTTTTGACAACACCTTCCAAACACGACTTCTTGCATTTCTTGGCGTATGTCCTTCATCTAGAACCAACAAACCAGGAGCTTCAAGCAAAGCCTTTCTCATATAACTGTTTTCTTTTCTCTTCTGTTTATTCTTTTTCTTATCTTCGGACTCCCAGTCCCATCCTGTCACGTGCTTATTCTTTTTCTTATCTTTGCATTCCCCTTCTCTGTGGGCTAGATCCTTGAACAAGGTGTAACTGATTCCCAGAATGCTCGTTTCTTTGAACCACGAAATCAGTTTAGCCATTCGCGTCTCGTCCAAACTATGCCGCCGTGTATCAGACCAATTAGTTGCATTAACAACATTATCATGCTCTTTAACAGATAACTCAGGATTGTTCAAATTGTGAAATGGAACACCTATGTCCCATTTTTTGAATTCGTCTTCCCAAGTAAGCAACAAACCCGCTGGAGCAACAACAACCGGCAAGCATTTCGGAAAAACTTTTAAATAAGCCTTGAGAAACATTATTGTTAGCTTTGTCTTTCCAGTACCAGGAGCGTGTGAAATAATGCAACCACCCTCCCTTTGAAGATTGATGTTCTTTAATAACCCTTGAAGCTCGATGTTTCCTACTAACTTATTCCAAATGAACTCAAAACCTTCTTGTTGGTGAGAATATAAGGTCTGTTTTACATCAGGAATTAGGTCCCAAACTGTTCTTTCATCACAAGAGAAATTAGTCTCGGAGTTACGATCAGAAACATTGAAGTGGGAGTCATGAAAGTGTGAGACATTTGCATCACCAAACGAAGCCCTTTGTCCCGAACCTTCATATGGAAATTTATCAACCTGTGTCACATACGAAACAAGTATGCAAAAACTCAGGGCCTCTTATAAACATATCTCAGAATCCAATCAGAGCAAACATATACAGCACAGTTCAATAGATGATGGAAATCAGTTTTTCAATCACCGACTGATAGCAAAAAGTTGTGATGTATTCAAATTCCGCTAAACTACAACGCTATAGCTGCAATTAGACTTCACTTTGCATTAAATCGTGTGTTACATACAAAAATTAAGCAAGATAATATTTATGTAAATCAACATCAGAGACCAAGCTTACCACTTGTGGTGAGACATCTTTAATGTCAGTGACAACCCAACCACACCGCCTGCAATATACACCAATCTCTTCGTCAAGATAGATGTCATGTTCACAGTCAGAGAATGGACTTCCGATTTTATCCTGAGTAGCTTCATTGGTCCCCAAATTTCCGATCTGCGGATAGTAACACATTTAGTTAGTCACTTCTACTGATTTTTCCTTATAGATATCATTTAGACTAAAGTTTAAGCGTATAAACAATTTATATCAAAAATCAAAATCAGCTTAAGCATTAATCCTTTAGTTCAAAATTTAAATGTTGTTCAGAGAAGGATTACCATGGATTCAGCTTCAAGTTCTCTGAGGCTTGTATCCATTTGATCCCACAGTACTTCCTCCTCCTCCTCGTTCTTGGTCTTTTGTACTTTCTCCACCTTTTTAAGGCTCCATATCAATGGAGCTGTCTCGTTACAAACAGGTGGTGGGCGTGTATCATGACGAATAACATCTTTTATCTCCAACACAGGTGAATGATTCTGAATTTTATTATTCTTGTTTCCCCAATAGTATTCAGCAAGGAGTTCGACTAAACGCAACTCCTTTGGCTTAAAAACTCTGCCTTCTCCCCTTTGATTCAAACTGTTTTTATCCATGGATTCCTTCTTCTCGCCACTACCGGCGTTAGCTCTACCTTTATAATCCCTTCCCTTCATCTCCATCATTTGCTGTTTATCTTGTGTTTGAATAGAAGAATCAGTTTGGTTCCCAACACCTGAACCTCGAAAAGATTGCATTTTTTCTTCAACAAAATCACCTATAACCACACTTTGTTTGGCTTTGGATTTGGTTTTGCCAACATAAACATTACCATCATCATTAGAGACATTTCTCACTTTCATTTGCACATCTTTTGAAGAAGGAGCCTCCATTGGAACAAAAGAACACTTTTTCTTAAAGGCATTTGAGGATCTTACATTACCTTCATATGCATGCTCCAATTCATCATTGTTTACAGAACATGAACAATTATCATTCTTACTATTTTGACCGTTGGCCTCTCTCACCATCTCTGCCAGCCCATTGGCACATTCTTGCCAAACCATTTCCAAATCCTCTTTCTCCTCCGCCACCACCCCCTCCTCGGTCTCCTCCTCCTCCACCTCCACCACCTCCTCCTCCTCCTCCTTCTCTTCCTCCCAACACATGTTTTTCTCCTCCTCATTCTTCTTCCAATCCATTTTCGTCTCCTCCTCATTCTTCTTCCAACCCATTTTCGTCTCCTCCACCGTCTCCTCCACCTCCACTACAACCTCCTCCTCCACCACAACCTCCTCCTTTTCCTCCCAACCCATTTTCTCCTCCAACACCACCTCTTCATCCGTCTCCACCCAACTCATTTTCTCCTCCTCCCAACTCATTCTCTTCTCCTCCTCCCAACCCATGTTCTTCTCTTCCTCCTTCTTCCAACCCATTTTCTTCTCCTCCTTCTTCTTACAACCCTTTGTCTTCTCTTCTTTCTCCTCACTATTATCATCATCATCATCAGCATAAGAAGAACTGCTATCATCACTGTCAGAAACTTCATTCACCTCATCAACTTGATATTCTTCATCACTTGTCTCAATTTCCTCACTTTCATCATCATCACCATCATCACATTCATCATCATCATCATCATCATCATCATCATCATCATCATCATCAGATTCAGATTCATCACCACACTTATCATCATCAAAGATTTCATCTTTTTCAGCTAAGTCACCAATCCCTCCATTTTCAGCACCAACAAAACCCTCAAAACTGTTATTTTCGCAACCTTCCAACCCTCCTTTGTCAGTGTCAAAGCAAATGACATTAACTTGTTCATGCAACAGAAGAGAGTCTTGATTTGGCTTCCTTTTTTTAGAGGCGAAACCCATATCAGATTTTGTACGCTTAGATTTCAACGAGCCATGAAATGAAAGACAAGCCAACAGCGGAACATTCTTACTTCGAGTTCGACTCGAAACACCCGCCATTGAGATCTTCTTACTTCGAGTTCGACTCGAAACACCAGCCATTGTTGTGACAAACACAAGAACAATAACAAAAGAAAAATAACTTAACCTCTGTATGGTTTGTTTTGGTCGCAAAAGTGAGGAAGAGAGAGAGAGAGAAAGAGGGAAAAAGTGGAATAAGACAGAGCGCTTAGGAATGTCATGTGATGAGATAGAGAGAGAGAGAAGAAAAGGAGGGAATGGAATGAAGAAAGTAGGGCGCCAAAGCAGAAGTAGAGGAACCAATCAATCACTCAGCACCAAACTAAACTAAATTTTTTTATCTCTTTTTAAATAATTACATGTATATGTCATATTTTTTATATAATTAAAATTTTAATTTAATAATTTTGTAAAGGCTAAAAACATATATAATTATGAAAATTTTGATTTTTTATATTTTTCTTTCTTTTTTCAATCTATATTTAATGAGATTTTCAGTTTTTTTTTTCAATCTATATTTAATGAGATTTTCAGTTCAATTTTGATTTTGATTAAATTAAATAGTACTAGTAGTGATTAATTGTAACGTACAATCTTTTATGTACTACTAATAATTAGATCCGTGTGTACATAAATCCACCAAAGCTAGTCAAACTTACACACAAAATGGGTTATGGTGTGTTAGTGAGTCAACATAATTTTCAAAAATGAAAAATTGTTGAAAACAATTTGGACTCAACTAGAGATGGATTCAGAATTTTCATTAAGTGGAGTCAAACCCAATTTTTTATACAAATACTATCAAAATTAAATAAGATAAATACTCGTAAAAGTATAAGTATTATGCTAAAGATTATCTAAATTGTCATAAATACTCGTAAAAGTATAAGTATATATATTAATATTTTAAGAAGATTGATATTTATTTTTATTTATAATGAATGAAATTTCAGAGTTAGATGGGGTATTGCAGGTTGAGTTGGGCATCGAGTTCTGTCTAACTTTAATTTCGAGATATAAATTGTTTTTCTAAAATTATTTGTGATGTGACATTTTCCTAAAGCACATAATTATTTATTTAAAGAATCATTTGACCTGATATGACACGTAGATTTCTCAATACTTATTGGTATAACGAATATTGAATTATTCTATCTACAATATCATTCAAAGGTGTTAAACTTGCATTATTATGAAGAAAAAAAATGAAGGATCAACCATATTCTTTAAAAGTGATGGATACACGGTATCAATAGTTGAAGCAATAGAGTCACCTGATTCTCGATCAAAAGTCATCTAGTGTCTCAATTTCAAATTTCCCATCATTATTTTAATTGAATTTTACATCTCTAACTCTTAAAATTCAATTTGAGAATTTATCCACTTTATTTAACATTGGAGTACAAAGATGCAGTCGCCTCATTTTTTTTCCAATGCTAGGACCTGAATAAATTGTCAAGGGTATGTGTTAGTTCCATGGAATTATGGTTGGCTAAATTTTAAGTAAATATGGTTCTGGACATGGTTCTATGTTGGTGTTGAGGAAGATGTTGCAGCATCTTGATCAACAGTCATATCATTTTTGTTGTTATGAGTTTTTTTACAGATGTCGCAGAAGATGTTGTGATATCTTGAGTCTAATGGAGCAGGCGTTACGTTTGGACATTCTTGAAGATTTAATCTGAAGATATGAGTATCTGGAATATTTCGTACTCATTATAGGCGCAGGTCAATCAAAGATTTTATTAGAAACAAGTGCAGATTTGATTGGTTACTAAAAAGGATTGATTGAGACATTTTAGGAAACTTTTTATGAAGATTGTTTCTATTTTTATGGACAATATTCTGTAGAGATTTTTCAGCTAAAGATTGGAATTGATTGAAGGATCCAAGCCAGTTCAAGCCCAACTGCAGAAACCTATTTAAGGAGACGTCCAAGACCTAGTTTTTAAGAATATAGTTTTTATTGTAAAACCTTGTGAAAAATAAGGGTTTAGGTTTTGATAGTCCTTAAGTTCTCCGTGTATTTTATTTGTATGTCCTCGCGTATCTTTGATGCATTTGAGTTGACTGATTGTTACTTGCTTGTCAAGTTATTATTCTCTTCAAAGTTGTGAGCAAGAGTTGAGTATTGTTCTTGGTCGAAGCTTTTAAGCAAGACTAAGTATTTGTAATTTGGAAGTGTGTTCTTCCTGTTTTGGTTTCGTGACAATTCTTGGGACTGGAATTGTGTTTTCACAGTGACTGTGAGTTTATATTACTACGGTGATTGGAAGTGGGATAATGATTTTCCATATCTAGGAGGTGCCTAGGTATAAGTTGCACTGGGTAGGAATTAGGATAGAAGTTGTAAACAAGGGAGTTTAGTTTTGAACTGGTACTACTTGTTGTAACCGACAAAGAAACACGAGAGTCGTCACCACTACTTTTTGTCCTAAGGATGGGAAAGGAACGAAAAACTCTAATTTTCAGATATTTCTAGGTTCGCGAGATAATTAGATAAAGGGAGATGTGTTATGCCCCCTTTACCTCTCTTGTACTAAATGGAATCCTCTTTAACTTTAGGATTTTAATGGGAGTTTCTATTTAATCATATTGCTAAGACAAAATAGGGGGAAATTTTAGTTTTAAGTTAGTGGAAAAATGTTTTTGCTTGTTGGTTAGCTATTTTAAGTTTGCTCGATAGATTGAAGAAGAGTTGATCTTCTTTATAATTAAATCGTGTTGGACAGAGAAATTGATTTAATTTGTTGGTGATTTTTAAATGTTTTGATTTAAATAATCAATCGGTAAGGTGTTAAGCCAACCAATCGATTCTTCGAGGATGTAAAATCCAATTATTTGTAAAAATATTTAATTAATTTAATTGAAGCAAAAGTTTGATTTTATCTACAAGGATTATGATTTTATTAATTAAGACAAATAATCCTACATAATTAAAATTATTTATAAGGAGGTGTTTTTGTTATTTTTAGATTTTTTATTATCTAACTAAATAGTAATTTAGGTAATTTCAAAGAGATATAAACTAAATTAAGGGTTTGAATATTAGTAATTGAGAGTTTGGGAAATAAAAAATAAAAACCTAAAATGTCCAAAAGATTTCTAAAAAGAGATATAATTTTATCTCTTAAATAAGTAGTAACAAACGACTACGAAAGTAAAAGAAAGATATTACAGTAGAAATAAGGAGAGAAGCAAATTTTTTTCTGATTATAATTGAAATAAATGGTATTAAAATCATATAATAGAAATAAAGTTGATAATTGAAATTAATTAAAAAAGTTAATATACAGTAAATTTAATTAATAATTTATATGAAGAAATTTCTAATTTGATTGCTATATATAAAATATTTAATTAATGATAAAATTTCTAATTGATTATGATATATAAAAATATATAACAATTTACATAAAAAAATCTATAATTGATTGTTATACACAAATTTATAATAAGTTATATAAACAAACTCTAATTGATTGTTGTACGTAAAAGAGTTTAATTGGTTATTATACAAAAAAAATTAAATAAATCTCACGGTAAACATCATATCAAACAAACTTGGAGATACATTAACAATAAGCAAATAATTCATACACAAAAAATAAGTTATACATTCTAAAAAGTAAGATTTATCAACCTAGAATACAATGACCATAGTAAGTTGCTTCCTCCTTTCCTTTTTTTGTGTTCTTCATGTTTTTTTTTCCTCGATATTTTTTGATCAGACTGATGACAAAGGCATTAGGGTTTCATCGTTTGATTGTTGTGTTTGACATAGAAAATTATGCAGATTCTTGAATAGAAGGTTGATCATAATAGTAACAACAACAATATAAATTGTTAGATGAAAAAAATAATTAGTAATAATAACAATATAATTGTTGGATGATAAAAAAATTAGTAACAATAACAATCAAATAAATTGTTAGATACTAAAAATAATAATTAATAACAACAATATAAATTGTTAGATGAAAAATAATACCATGAGATAGTCATCATATAATAAAAAAAAATAAAAATTCGAGAAAACTAAAAGGGGTTTGTTTTGTGTGTGCGTGAAAATCAGTGTATGAAATTTACCTTTTTATTCAATAAAAAATAAAGGTTAGTGTAAAAATATAATTAAAAGAAGAAAAAATATCAGACAAATCATCATATGGTAAAAATAAACAAAGAAAAATGTTTTTGTGTAAAAAAATGTTTTAGAGTAAAAAATAGTCGATTCAAAGATTTAACAAAAAATAACCCATCAAAGTCATCACCATCTAGTTTTAAAAAAATAAATAAACAAATTAAAATTGAAAAACTGTAAATAAAAGAGAGGGTGACCTCATATTTAATTATTGGTCAAAATAGTTTTGAGTAGAAGATAACTTTGAAAAAAAGGTTTTGAAAAAAAGTTTGAAAAAATAAATTTGAGAATCGTAGTGTGTGAATTGTGATTTGTGAATGTGTGGATTATAATTTTTATAAAAAACTACAACCATCAGAAAATCTTCATCATATGGTTTCATCAACAAACAACTTAAAATTAAGAAAATATGAAATTGAAAATAAAAAAGAGGGGTCTCATGTGAAATCATCGGCCGAAAATAAATAGTTTTGAAAAAAGAAGTTTTGAAAGAGTATGAATAAAAAGCTTGAAAAAGTTTATAGAAGCGTGTGAGAGATATAAAATTGTTGATGATTGTTGATGAATCAATTGTGAAAACTGAAGGATTATTTATAAGTAAAAATTAGGTTAGAAATTCAATGAAATTGCTTTATTTTTGGAAAGATTTTGTTGATTGAAAAATGATTGAGATTTGATTCAAGTCTTGGTGAGCAAGACTATAAATCTAGATGATTTTGTGGCCTTTCTCAATATTGGAGTTGAATTGGTGATTAATAAAAAATAATTTTGAAAGGTTTCAGTTATTTTTTTAGGGTTTTACAACTCTCATCCACTTAAAAGAATTCTTGCCCTTGAAAATTACCCGGCGAAAACAAAGTCGGATAAGACTCTCTCATCTGATCCTCACGTCCCCAAGTCCAACTTTCACCATCTGGTCCACCTCACAACACCTTCACCA